TGCCGCGAGAGGCAGTGCGTTGTGCACGCCGTCAGCTGTCCTAGACCGGACTACGCCCCCAGCCGGGGGTGGAGCGACTGGATGGTGGGCTGCGTATTACGTCCACGATGGTCATCACATAGCGCAGGACTCGTCACTGCACGGGGAAACGAACAGCCTCGCGAGAGAATTAGATCCGGCAGAATCAGAATCAGTCGCGGGAGAGTCCGCTACCCACAATTCGGGAGAATGGCCCGCTCACGAGGAGAAAGGATGTGTTCCCCACGGCGCGCAAGGTAGTTCCCTCACGATGGGAGGTATGTGGTGCTCGCTGTGTGGGAGGATGCCAATGAGATCCTCGTGCTCCAGGATGGTCAGTTCGTCACGCTGGCGTTATTCGCTCGCTGCAGTGAGCGCCGTCCGGTCGTGACGGCCACGATGCGTTGCTCGCGCTGAGCACGCGGCGCGGCGCGTCCAACGCTGAGCACGCGGCGCGGCGTGTCCAGCGTTGTTGTTCCGCGATCAGGCGCAGACCTCGCTGAGCCCGGTCATGACGAGTTCACTGGTCGGGTCAGGTCGACTGTCGACCAGCATCGAATCGACACGTGAATCATGACGTCAATCGACTTCGAGCACGTGCACTGGGAGTCCCGCCGCAGCCCATGTGTCGCCTGCCCCTCTCGTCAAGATCAGCATTCACACCGCTGTTGTGATGGAGCATCTGAGTCAGCGAGGGGCTGGCACTACCAGCTCTAGAGTGTGCCGGGGCGGCCACGTGACCGGCTTCCAGCGGCACTTCACGCATGACGAAAAAATCGCTCCCGTTCAGTATCCTCGCGTGCTCACGCAACATACTAAAACTGACTTTTTCCGTCCCCCCAAGATCATTGGATCCTCTTGAGTCGACAATATGAATATCAAATCAGCGCTTCGGACTTTAGGTTAGCACTTTAAAACTTAAATCAGAGCTTTCAATCTCGAATGATTGAATTTACACGTTCAATTTTCAACCAATGTGATGGATTTTCAACCGTTCATTTAAAGTGTGCATCAGCATTGCGCACCTTAAATCAATACTCTAAATCTCAAATCAGCACTTTGCATTTGGAATCGGCGCTTCAAATCCAACACACAGGGCCCACCACCGCGACACTGTGCGGGGCGGCCGCTGCCGAGGCAGGCTGATCAGGGCGCCGGGGTCGCTCCTTGCCCTCCCCTCCCCCCGCCGGGGCTGCGGCCCTGTCCTGCACACTCCAAGATACAGTTGGCAGTTGCGCGAGTCGGCATCCAGCAGCGTGCTCAAAGCGCCAGACTCTGACTTGGGAAGAATCTGACTTGGGGAGAGACTGACTTGGGGAAAGACTGACTTGGGGAAATGTTTGACTTGGGGGACTGACTTGGGGAGAACCTGCTCAGGACTCGGCGTAGGGCGCAGGCCAAGTTGAGCGGATATTGCTTCGCGCTGTTCGATGCGATCCACTGCGATTTAGCATTCCAAACCGCATGCGGTATCTTGCACTGCTGCCTGCCAAGTTGCATTCCTTCAAAAACCGCTACCCCCGCAGAGCGCACTACATACAAAGATCAGTGATGAACTCGTCACGAGTCACGATGGACTCGTCTGCCGGTGGCCAGTGAACGGCTCGCCCTCACGCTCCCACCGCCACGGCTGCCGAGACCCTCTGATCGTTCAAGTCACTCTGCTCCACAGCTGCGCCGACGCCCGTGTACGATCTAGTGTGCGGATGATGTCGCCGGTCACGTTCGGGACATCGCGCCGAAAAAGAAGTCTTACGGTAGCCGCCGGCGCCCGTCAAAACTCTCGCGCCGCGTGACTCTATTCGGCGGCGCGCAGTCACGGCATGTTCACGCCATCCAGAGTGCGGCCAGCCGACGTCACCATCCCGGCGCGAGACCGCGGCCCTGCGACCCGGAGCCCACGCGGCTGCCCGCGCTACGACACAAGGCACGGGGTAGTGGGCAATGAGCAGTGTATGGTGGGCAGTGGGCAGTGGGCAGTTGACAGCTCACCGTTAAGAGTGGGCAGTGTGCGGAGGGCAGACGACTGTGAGCACTGGGCACCGGGTAAACAACGGTGGGCAGTAGACATTGGACATTAGAATTTGAACAATAGACATTGGACAGTAGAATTTGGACAGTGCGCATTGGGAACTGAGCACTGTGGAGCGCTACCTGGGTTACGGCACTGGACTGTGGACAAAGGACAAGGCAGGGAGCCCGTCCGGCCCGGCAGCGGGGTCACCGCGCTCTGGCGGTGCGGCCCAGCCGGTCCGGTCCGGCGCGACCCAGCCGCGGTCGTGGGAGGCGGAGGCGCGGCGCTCCCACGCGGCGCGGTCGCCGCCGCCGCCGCCGCCGCCGCCGCCGCCGCCGCGTAGCGTTTGTCGCGCGCGCACCGGTCGGGGCCGCGATCGCCGCGCGGTCGCCGGCGTCATCAGAGCGTGACGCGCAGCATCGGCCGCCGCGCAGCAGCGGTCCGCCGCCGCCGCCGCCGCCGCCGCCAGCGCAGGACGTGCGTTATGGGGCAGACGTACGCTATCCAGCAGCAGACGCGCGCTGTTATGAGGCGGGCGGGCGGCACTAAGTGCAGACCGGTGACAACGGAGAGCAAATGCGTGTGTTGACGAAGCACAGGCGCGCACTATCACATGCAAGGCAAGCAGCTTCACAGAACAAACGTGGGTACGCTGGCGATGTGGGACGTGCCTCCCAGGCAAGTGACGTGCCAGAGCAGGCTCGGCGTCCGTGACCACCAGACGAACGGGCAGGCACTGGGACCGTGCCAGCGGAGCCAAGAGCCAGCGGAGCCAGGAACCGGGAGCCAGCAAAGCCAAGAGCCAACGGAGCCAGGAGCCAGTGGAGCCAGAAGCCGGCGGAGCCAGCGGAGCCAGTGGAGCCAAGGGCGCGCGACTGGGGACGGGCGGTGGGAATTTGACCTCATCTGGCAAAAGAATCCATAGGAAACGGTGCACCGCCATCTGGTGGATGGACGGCTGTGCCAGCCGAGCGCCGCCTCGTCTGGAGGCGACCTGCCGCGCCGCTCCCGGCGCCGCGTTAAACCCGTCCGCCCCGGCTCGTCCCTTCCGACCGGTCCGGTGACTCGTCCGCCCCGGCTCGTCCCTTCCGACCCGTCCGGTGACCCGTCCGCCCTGCCTGGGTCACAGGACACATGGCCGCCGCACGGCTCTGGGAACTGAGCGGCCGGTGGCGTGCATCATGCGAGAGGCTATTTGAGCCCGGCGAGAGGCTATCAGAGCCCGGTAAGTGTCTTGCTGAGGCCGGCGAGAGGCTCCGGAGAGCCCGACGTGAGGCTGTTGCCGGCGCGGGCAGCGCGCCATGGTAACGGCCCGCTATAAACTGCTTAAGCACGTGACGCAACTGACGGCGCAGCCGAGTCGAAGGGCCGAGCAATCATCACCCCCGGTACAGGCCCATCTGCATGTGCCGCCGAGACACGGGCCAGACGGCTGCGACCATCTCAGGCGCGCGGGGCAACAGGGTGGGAGGGGGAGAGGGAGGTGCGACGCACCGCCGCCTGGCTTGACTTTGGCACGTGGTACACACAGGGGATGCATCGCTGTTAGTGCTGTCTGATGGCCGGCTGAGGTGGGCGCTGAGGGGGTGCATCGCTGTTGGTACTGTCTGATGGCCGGCTGAGGTGGGTGCTGAGGGGGTGCACCGGTGCTAGTGCTGTCTGATGGCCGGCTGAGGTGGGTGCTGAGGGGGTGCACCGGTGTTAGTGCTGTCTGGTGGCCGGCCGAGGTGGGTGCTGAGGGGTGCATCGCTGTTGGTACTGTCTGATGGCCGGCGCACGCGCCAGGCTGAGTGCCCCGCCTCTTGTCAGGCGGCAGGCTGAGCGCCCCGCCTGTTGTCAGGCGGCAGAGCTGACAACAGACTGAATGAAGCCTCTGGCTGGAGCCTCTCGCTGCCATGGCAGAGCGTTCGCATCGTATGGATTCGCTGCGACTCCGCCTCCCGCTCACACAGTAAGAGCAACGCGAACTGCTGATGATAAAGCAAGGGGGATGGGGAGGGGTAATAACCATTTCGGAATGCGTCCACCATGCCTGGCACGCCGGCGGCCGTCCTCACCGTCCTCCGAACACCGTCTTCGCAACGTGTGCATGGCACGCGCAAGCCTCCTCCCAAAGCGAACCCTCTCTTCACTCCGCTACAGACAGATCGTCATGCCAGGCACGGCTGTGCGTCTAAATTGCCTTTTTGGCGCAAAAAAATGACGTATTTGTCCCGCAAATTGACCAATTAAGCTTAGGCCGCACGCAATGTTGGTCTCCCGCAACATTTCGTGCATCGAACATAAACATTCCTAGCAATTACGAACTCAGTCTGCGAATGTCCCCACATACTCGCTTTTGTCGGTGCCATTCTTAGTGAAACAAATTTACCGCCCAGCACGGGGCGCGTGCTCCACCCAAAAATAGTCACAACGCGGGCTCATTTTCATGAGCGGCGCTGGGTGTTGCTGCGGTCAATGTACCAAACGAATCTAAATCATCCCCGGTACTGGATGTTGACCGACACGCATTGACTACGGAGCAACGCGCATGTAGCACTTGTACCGCCACAATATCCGCTTTGACTCCCACTCCCACCCCACACCACCCTCTCCGGAACCTCCGCCCCCCCCCCCCGCCCTGTGTGTGTGTGGGGGGGGGGGGGGTATATAGTATTGGAGATAGCATTGGAGAACGCATAAGACACTGGGCAGGGCAGCTTTCCACCAAATCTGGGGAACGCAGGCCAAGTTCCCCCCGAGCCGGAAGATGAAAAGTGTGCCCTCCCATGCTTGTTGACAGCCCTACGTCCCGGTTCCCACAGAACAGCACGCCGTCGCTCGGCGCTCGTCCGTCGCTCCGTCGCTCCGTCGCACTGATTACGGCGTGCCGCCAACATTGTGTTGGAGCGCAAAGAGCAGCGGACCGCCTCGGACGTGTCCGGCGGTGTTGGGGGGGGGGGGGGGGCAGCCGGCGGGGAGGACGTACCTTGGTCCGGTTGAGCGGGTTGGTGAAGTCCCAATCGGGCGCGACAAACAGGAAGCCGCACCGCTGCACCTTCCGCGACGCCTGGGGACGCCGAGGTCACGGTCAGAGGTCGGGCCGGCCCGTTGAGCTCAGGTCAGACGTCTCTGGCATGAGGTCAGACCTCGCGAGCCGCCGCGGTGGTCGTAGTGAAGGTTGGGGCCTGACGCGGTGGTCGTGGTGAAGGTTGGAGCCTGATGCGGCGGCTGTGGTGAAGGTTGGGGCCTGACGCGGTGGCCGTGGTGAAGGTTGGGACCTGACGCGGTGGTCGTGGTGAAGGTTGGGACCTGACGCGGTGGTCGTGGTGAAGGTTGGGACCTGACGCGGTGGTCGTGGTGAAGGTTGGAGCCTGATGCGGCGGCTGTGGTGAAGGTTGCGGCCTGACGCGGTGGCCGTGGTGAAGGTTGGAGCCTGATGCAGCGGCTGTGGTGAAGGTTGGGGCCTGACGCGGTGGTCGTGGTGAAGGTTGGAGCCTGATGCGGTGGTCGTGGTGAAGGTTGGAGCCTGACGCGGTGGTCGTGGTGAAGGTACAATATCCA